CCATTTCTGGTTCCTGTGCTTCAGTAAGGCTTCTTTCAGCAGTTGCCCTTGTCGGTTAAGGGCGATTCTGTTTTCTTCTGTGGTATGTCTGCGGAATGTCCTGCGTAGCCTCCTATGGTTGGTGATTTTTCTGCGGATGGCGACCGGGAGGTCTTCCCGAACAACCGGAAATTCCGAAATCACCGAGTTTCTGCCATGCGCTTGTTGGATAGCTTCTAGACTTTTTGCTGTTTGCTCCACCCCCTCCTCATCCTTTACCTGGGGAATTTCGTTTAGTAGGTGTGTGAGCTCTTTGAACTTTACCCAGTTCGTTGTGGTTCTAGTCCTGCGCAGTGGTGTCCTTTCTTCGTGACCACAACACAACAAGATTGGGTTGTGGTCGGAGGTTCCCTCTTCTACAGTCTGGATGCTAACCGGTTGCCTCATGTTCTTGATTATTATAATATAGATATTAATGAGGAGGAGCTAAGTTATTTAATTTATGTTAGGGAAGCAGGCACTGTACCAGAACCACACAGCCAAGCTTTAGTTAGCAACTTTAGAAGTCAACTTGTAAATGATTATTTTTCTAGGCTCTAAATTACGAAGAAAATATACCTTTAAAAGTAATTCGTATTTTTTAATACCTATTAGACTGAGTTACACTATCAAGAAGTTTCTTACGTTACCTTTGACCTTGTGCGGGGTTTAATTTTTTTCAATAACGGTTCATAAGTTCAAAAAAATTCAATTTAATGTGAAAGATGATTAAGTTTTTTTTTCAATTTCAATTTGTATATCTAATAATTGAAATTTTCGCTTTCTTTCACCTTCAATCGTTAACAACTCCTCTTCCAATTTCTTCTTCTGCAAATCTGCTACTTCTAGCCGCTTATCAAGCAGTTGGTCATATTTTTCTGCTATTTCAGACCTTGTTAGGGCTTTAGTTTGCAGTGTTGGTCGATGTCTCAAAGCGGGTTTTGTTCTTTTGGTATGAGGAGTATCAACACCATCAATTGTATCTAAAATGCACAAACAATATAAAACATGTCCAGCTATACATATGTAAGGCTTAGATAGACATTAAAATGTATTTAAAGAACTTAGTTAAACCGGACAAACACCATTCAATAAATAATTTATTATTACCTTTATCGTTTTTTCGTTTTGCAGATCCAGGTCTCGGATTTTGCAAATTTATAGTAATTGGCTGCTTCAAGTCAGCTGGAACATATTTCCT